GTTACTGAGCTGCTGTCTCCAAGGGGACAGGATAAGTTGCCACCCTGCCCTTGACCTTCTCCATTCTCCAAAGACTGGGGCTATCTCCTAGGCAATGTGTCTGCCTGGAGGTGGGTGTGTGAACATTCATTTCAAGCAAGGTGTTTTTGGAGCCCTTAGAAGCTGCTTTTTTGAGTCAGAGACAGAAAGATTCCTGCCCACACACCCCCTTACCCTGGTCTGGCCAGGCCTTGGTGTTCCCGGACTCCTACACAGGCAAGGAGGGCCCATTTCTATTCCCTCATAATCCCTCTGCTTTTGTGTGTGTGTGTGTGTGTGTGTTCAGTCATGTCTGACTCTTCATGACCCCATGGACTGTAGCTTGCCAGGTTCCTCTGCCCATGGGATTCTCCAGGTCAGAATACTGGAGTGGGTTGCCATTTCCTCCTCCAGTGGACCTCCCCAACCCAGGGATCAAACCCACGTCTCTTGCAGCTCTTGTATTGGCAGGCAGATTTTTACCAGTAGGGCCACTTGGGAAGCCTGTGGCCCCTGAGAAACCAGCTAAGAATGTAGGTATATCCACCTCCCCTCAGGGATTCCATCTGCCCAGAAGGGCACAAGGATGGGGCAGCCTCTTCCACTGCTCCTGGCTGACTGGTCTGATCTCTGGAGACTCCTGGAGGCAGGCCTCATGGTTCTCTGCTTCTCTTACATTTGGTCTTTCTTTGTGCTGCCTCAGTACACAGCCTACCTCTCTGATCAATGAAAGAGGGCTAAAAAGTCTGTGCTCCTCCTCTTATCGAATCTAATCTCCTTCCCCGTGTAACTGTATGAACCTCAGAGACTTTGCAGAATGCCACATTGCAAGGTTCTGGGACTTCTCAGGCCAGGTCATCAGAATCTTCATAGCTTCCACCCTTCCTCCTGGAGGCCTTGCTGTTCCCCCAGAGAAGAACGACCACTACCCTGAGGTGGTCACGCTGTGAGGAAGCCCAAACTAAGTGTGTGGGAGAGAGATGCCTGCCTGGCCCCAGCATCCCTGGGCTGGGAAGTCATGGCGGCTGGGAACACACATATTATGGATTGAAACCAGGCCTCCCTGTTGTGCCTCGGCCTAGCTCCTGACCCGCAAAACTGAGAATGATAAAAGAAGACATTACTGCTTTAAATTTGGGATGCTTATTATGCAGCACCAGGTAACTGGAACCTTCTCTCTGGCCTCTGGAGCTCTCCAATGGCTCCACATGCCTGCATAATAAACTTCCAACTCAATTTCACGGCCGTCTGTCACAGCACAACTATATCACCTGGCCACTAAGCTCACGGGCCAGTCTTCCTGGGTTCCTCCCTATCTCTGAAATCTTATTGCTTCTATCTAGAAGCCATCCTTGACCTCCACCCCCACTCTAGCTTGGCACTCCTTATCCCACCCGTCTCCACTTAGCTCCTTGAAAGTGTTAGTTGTTTGGTCGTGTCCAACTCTTTGTGACCCCACAGTCTGTTCATGGGATTTCCCAGGCAAGAATACTGGAGTGAGTTGCCATTCCTTTCTCCAGGGGATCTTCCCAACCCAGGGATCGAACCTGGGTCTCCTGCACTGCAGGCAGACTCTTTACAGTTTGAACTACCAAGGAAGCCCTTAGCTCGTGAAAGATCCTGACTTATGGAAGGAATTCTCCTCCTCTCCACAACCTCTGGTTGCCATTCTGAGTTGGGGATGTAGGGTCAGAAAGAGCAACCCCCCCCACCCCACACACACCCCAGACTGGTGGCCAAGGACCCTGCCAGATTTGTCCTCATTTGATGGGCAGAGCTCCTATAGGTCCCCTCAGGATGTCTGAGAGGTCACTCTTGGCTAATTTGTAGCTTTAAGGGGAAATTAACCACATTTCTTTAAAATGGAAACACTCAGTTTTTACAAATTTCTGTAGATCCTGAGGTCAGAAGTCTGAGCAAGAGCTCAGTTCAGGGGAGCTATCTCAGGGAGGCATGGGAGAGGACAAAGGTTGTGCCTGACCACAGCAGTCAACAGCAATTCCAAGATGCTGGACCTGACCTGTGTGATTATTTATAGTGTTTTTGTGGTCTTGAACTTTTGCACATGAATCAAAAGTTTTTCCTACCATAAGCATAAGCCTATGCAGAACTTCAAAATTAATCCAATTGTTGGGTTTATGGTCAATTACATATGACCAGTACTTCTTGGTGGATTTCTCCTCTCTGAGGCTCTAATTGGATAGCCCTTAGGAAATTTATTCTAGAAGAAAGAAGTTGTAGTTCTGTCTGAGTCACTATTGATCTTACTAGATGGAACCCACTTGGCTAATCAATCATACTGACTCTAAGCAAGATCTTTAAATTTACTCAGGCTCAATTAGAGAAATGACCTAAATTTCAATCAAAGAATACAACTTCTCGATTATTAGGAGGGACCCCCCTCAGTTATGGGATGGGTTTATACAGCTTACATCAGGCTATTATGGCTTAAATGGAAGGTACCCCTCTCCCCTTATGTCAGGGACAGTTAAGTCATACTAAGGATAATCAGCCTAATAACACTAGGAAATTGGGGCTGGGTGCCTTACAAACAGGGCCAATACATCATTGCCCTTAAAGATAGCGATGGATACTAAACATATTGGGTCAGCTGACCAGAGATGTACTGGGCAGCATCTAATGGAAGTTCTTGGCTTAAATTCTTACTTATGACCTTATAAAGCCTACTAGTTATATTGGAGGAGGAAATGGCAACCTACTCAAGTATTCTTGCCTGAAGAATTCCACGGACAGAGGAGCCTGGTAGGCTACAGTCCATGAGGTCTCAAAGAGACACAACTGAGCAACTAAGACTCACTCGCATATTATTATATTCTGCTTATTTTACAAGATTATTATTCCTTGTATTGTCCAATGTGTGACAGCTACTGATAAAAATGATGACTGGGTGACTTGAAATGACCGACAAGATAAATAGTTCTACATAAGATCAATGATTATAATAGTGTAATTGCAGATATGGGAAGAAACAGCAAGAGGGAATCTTCTCGTGGACCATAACAGATTAGTTAGACATGTCCAGAGACTTTTGGCTGCGTTCAACAGGGTCTAGTCCAGTAATAGTCCACTGAGGGACCTAGCAATGGAATCCCTGCCCGACTCAGCAACGAGCATTTCTACTAAAAATTGGTCATGCAACGCCTCCCAAACCTTGGTTGAATTTATGAATGTTTTCCCTCATCCAGTTCCGTGTATAGTACACCCTGAAAGAAAGTCAGGGCAAAGATCAGGAATGAGGCACTCTATGCTCTGGGAAAAATGGCAGAATAAGCCTTCAGATAGTTAGGTATATTTTCAGGAGAAAATTGTATGAATCTAGAATCTTGCATCTTCCCCTACTTAGAAAAGCACTAAAACCATTAACTGAGATATCTGTTCCTCGTAGCTAAGAGCAGCCTTCTGCTGAGAAGTGTGCTTGACGGCAGGGACCCCTTTCTCCACAGTCACATATGTGCTTGCTGACCTCCCACTACCTCTCTGAAGGAGTTCCATCAGAGCTATGAGAGAGGCTGTCTTCTGAGCTATCGTCCTAAGACCCCAAATAAAACTGAACTCACAGATCTCAGGTTGTGCGATATTTTTTTCCAGTTGGTGCTTCCACCCAACACCTCCACACCTCAGATTTCAGCCTCTCAAACATAAGCAAATCTGTGCAAATTGCAGTTTAAAACAGGTTCCCTGAGGGGGAGGCAGTTGCCTCTTTGTTCAGCCCAAGATTACAGCAATGAAACAAAAGGAGCGAAATTTCCTTTTCTTCTGTTCTTTCTTTTCCTTCCAGCTGCAGCAGAGCTGGGGCCTGGAAAGCTTTTGTGTTCAGCACACTGGAGCTTGGAGGGGTGGTGGCAAGGCCTTGGCTACTGACCCCAGGCTCTGCCTAAGTGGCCCCTGCCAAGCCAGGCTGGCTAATTGAGCACGGCCTGGACAATGGAGGGGTGGGGCTGGCTTGGGGGAGGGGCTTCCTGGAGGATGCTCTCTCCCATTCCCATTTCCCTTTCCAGGCATCCCTGTGGACCTTCAAGGCTCCACTCTGGACCCTCTTCCTCCAGGAAGACCTCCTGGGCCACCTCCATCACACCTCTTCATGTTTGGAGATCAGAGACCTGCCTCTCCTAGACTCAGCTTGGGGTTGGCCTTTGACCTCAGCCCAGGGAAGTCGAGGACCCGGCACTCATGGCATTGGTGAGCAGACAGATCCCTGCCCTGGCTTTACAGGCTCTGCTTACTCTCCTATAAAGGACCCCTTCCCCTGTGCTCACCTCCTGCTGCAAGCCTCCTCCCTGGTTAGAGCTTTGCTGTCCCTGAGTGCTCCATGTGGGGTGTGAGGAGAGCCCTGGTTGGAGTCCAGAATCTTGGGTTTTAATCTAGCCTCTGCTCAAATCAGCTGTGTGACCCTAAGCAAGGTCCTGACCTACTCCAGGTCTCCTGATCTGCAGGCTGGAGATACGCTCCCTCATGGGCCTGCTCTGGGTTCTTGCCACAAAGAAAGAATAAAGGCTTTGGCTCCTGGGGTCTGAAGGAGAAAGGTGTCCCTATCCCAGGCAAGGCAGGCCCCTTGGCCTAAGGCTGATTCCCCTCATTTTGGATGACTCCATTTGCCTCTGATGCTGGGTAAGATGGAAGGCAAAAGGAGAAGGGGTAAGCAGAGGACGAGAAGGTTGGATGGCATCACTGAGTCAATGGGCTTGAATTTGGGCAAACTGCAGGAGATAGTGAAGGACAGGGGAGCCTGGCTTGCTGCAGGTGTGGGCTCGGGTAGCCTGGGCTGGGCCTGGGAGCCCCACAGAGGTTCCAGTGACCACGGGCATCTAATGGCCAGTGGCTTTGGGCCTGATCTTCTAGTCCTCCCTCTGCCTTGCTCTGGGAATACCTTTATTGGTTGCCAGGCAACATACCCCAACACACCTGGCTGCTAGGTGAGCCAACCCATCCTCCCAGAACCAGTGGTATGGGGGCAGACTTACAGAGTGGCTGTCCAGGAGGCCTGGGGCAGCCTGGGGGGCTGGAGGGGATGGAGACTCTGGCTCCCCCATCTTTCCTGCTAGCAGTTCTGTTCCCCAGGATGGGCCCCAGGGGACCGTTGCTACAACAAGTGCCTGCCTGGTGACTGAGCCCTGCCCTGAGCTGGAAGCAGGCAGGCTCAGGGGACCACCCCCCGTTTGTTCCAGGGTGAGGGCATCTGGGTGGGGTGGCTGGAATTAGGCAAGGCTCATTCCTTAGCCAGGGAACTGCAAGGAGATGGCAGGATCTGGAAAGGCTGTGGGGCCAGGAGACAAGGAAACAGGCAAGACCCTGCAGAGCTATGAGCTTCCGTCTCCCCAACCACAGTCTCAGCACCCTCCCCTGACCTGCCCTCTATGTAGACCTCAGTCTCCCATTAGTCTCGCCCCTCCATCCCCACTGTCTCTGTCTTTTGGTTACCCCATACCCTCAGGCTCCCCTCTCCTCTTCCCTTAGCCTCCTCATATTTCGATCCCTCAGTCTCCCTTCTCTCTGGCCCTTGAACCCCTCAGCAGTCCACCTTCTGCAGTGGTCCAGGCTGGGCTCACTTTTCTCCTGCAGCGGCACAGCAAGGCCTAGGGCCCCAAGCCTGCCCCCCGGTCCTTCCCATCTCGGCTGTCCTGATAGTCTGGACAAATTCCTTTCCTGTTAGTTCAGTGGAGACAACATGGGTGGATGTCTTTAAAAGGAACTCCCTGGGAAGCAAATGGAAAACAAACCCAAACAAGGCAGCCCACCACCTAGAAACGGCCTTGGTCTCCAAGGCAAAGCCATCTGCTACAGCTGCCCTTGGCCTGGGGCTGCAGAGACACCTTCCTAGGGCTTGGAGTTGTCTGTCTGGCTTTGCCCCAGCTGAGCTGGGTCCAGCCTGTCTATCCCAGGGAAGCTTGGTCCCAAAGCCTTCTCTGATAGCCCCACCCCTCCATCTGCCCCTAGCAAGATGCCTACGTGAAGCTGGGACTCCGTATATATTTGTTCACCTGTTTAATGAATGAATGGAGGAATGACGGGGGTTTCTGGGGTTTCAGTGGTGGTTCAAGAAGACAGTCCAAGACAGACAGCTTGACCTGGTTCCAAAGCTCCAGCCTGTCTAAGGCACCCCCACCCCCAACTGCTGGGTGCTAGCCCAGGGTTCTGCGTGGGTGGGGGCCCCTGTCAGTATTGGGAGTGGGTTCTTACTCTTTTCCTTGGCAGGCCTCATTTCTCATTAAATTTACTCTGAGACCCTGTAGAATTCACTTGTTCTTCATGGGGTTTCTTCCTCTCTATCATAGGGTTATGATATCACAGGAGTAGGGGTGTGGAACAGGATAAGCCCTCACAGCTCTGGGGCTCATACTTGAGCTGGCTGGGAGCCGTGGGAAGGCAGTGGGTTTTGTGTTTGCCCAGCACTGTGTTTGAGTCCTACCCTGGGCCTCAGTTTCCTCCTCTGTCAGATGGAGCGTGTGACCACACCCACCTCCCAGAGCCGCTGGAGGGCAGGGATACTGAGGCTGGGGCAGGGGGCTGGATAGATCTCTAAGCAGTGTGCCCGGCATGTGAGCAGCTCTGGAAATGTTATCATCTCCTCTGTGGAACCCCTGGGGGTTCTAACCCTTCTCTAAGGAAATGAGGCTTGTGAGGGATTTGGCCACCCTCTCTGGGCAGTGCCAGCCTCTCAGATGGCATTCCAGATACGGGCCTAGACCTTCCTGATCCTGAGCCTCAGCCTCCCCGCAGGGGAAACAGGCTGCTGCCTTCTGCTGCGTCTCCCATCTCCACCGACCTCCATCCCAAGATCCCGGGGCAGAAGCCTGGGATACAGGCAAAGCCAGAGTAACACCCCCTCCCAGCCTGGCCTTCAGCCACCCGCCCCCTCACTGAGAGGGGCCCTGGGCTCCCACGCCTGCTGCACTGCCTATCGATTGAATCTGCTCCCATCCTCGGGCGTGCCATGAATTTTTCATCAAAGGCCTGTAGACTTTGGGAAACGCACAATTAGAAGCCCCATCAATAATGCACCATGCAGAGGCATTGCTGAGCTCAGCCAGGTCCCAGACATGGCTGTCTTCCAGTCTGCTCTGGTGGGAGGCGGGAGTGGAGCCCTCGGGGGTCCATCACTGGACCCCATAAATGTGGGATGCTGGGAGGTGGGAAGAAGCTGGACTCAAAGACTTGAGCCTGCCCCCTTGAAACCTCATCTCAGTCACTTCATCCGTAGAATGGGTGCTGAGGAGCCCCTACTCCTTAAAGCATCGTGAGGCATGGCAGAGAGTCGCTAGGTGAATTCTAGGGTTCTTTGTGGGATTGCGGGATGTCCTTCCTCTGTGGGTTCCAGGAAAGCAGGGTAGGCACCAGGCTGGGGTGGGGAGGCAGCTGAGGGGAGAAGAGAGAAGCCTGGTGGCACTGAGGCAGGGGTTATTCATCCAACTCCGTGGTCAAAGTCCAATGTGATCCCGGTCCTGCCCCCTCCAGCCTCAAAGCCCAGCTCCCTTTCCATGAGCGCTTCTGTGGTCTCAGAATCAAGGCTGGGGGGAGAACAGAGGCTCTGTTCTGTTCTCCTCTGAGCCTTTGCAGTTCCTCCACAGGCAAGATGGAGGAGCCTTCACCCTATCTCTGCAGATCCGTCCTTAAAGAGTCTCCCTCCTGACAAAGCCTTTCCACTCTCCTTGGCGAGAAGGGATGGCAGCTTCCTTTGCTGAGTTTCTAGAGCTTGAACCAGACCCGAAGCGCTCACCATAGGCAGGCTCTGTTCTAAGTATGTTGTAGAGATGAATTTGATTTCATCCCTGTAGGAACCTAGTGAGGCAGCTGCCACTACATCTATCCTACCGAAGGGGCAGTGTAGCAAGAAGCGGTCAAGGAACCTGTCCCAGTGCAGGAGGTGGCTCCAGAGTCCACTCTCTTAACCACCTGCCCAGACTCTGGGGATGGCTCTCCTGTCCTTAATTGGTCTTCGGGTCCCCTGAGGCAGGGCTTATGCTCCCCACTTCCTCACTGACTAGGGCTGGGATCTTGCCATTGCAGGGCCTAGGGCTCCCCGCTCCCAGCTCAGGGGAACTCAGAGCAGGGCCTGGAGGTCTTATAATACCCACCCTGCCCTACGCCCCTCATCCTCCAGGCTCCAAGTCTGGCTCCAACATTCTGAGGCTGTCCTGAACGCTGTCCTTCCCTGCAATAAAGCACATCAACACATGGGAGAGGAGGAGACTGGGACTGAGGTGGTTTGTCCCGTTGCTTCTGGCATGCTACCATATTTCTTCGGGCCCTGCCAGGCTATGGGCCTCTGCTTCAGCCTGGGAGGGGGCTTGTGGGCACTCCGCGCTCTGTGTCCCTGCACATGGGCTGTGTGGAGCCTCAGACACCAGCATTTGGAGGCCCGGCATATGCCAAGGGGGTGTGGGTCTCCATTTCTAAAAGCCTCTCCTGGCAGAAATGCCACCAGTGGGTCTGAAATACACATGGAAGCCATGAATCACACGTCCCTCCCCTTCTGCCACCCAGGCAGGAGCCCAGGCAGGACAAGCTTGGAGCTGTGGCAGGGGACTCACTATGACTCTAACACCAGCATCTACATGGGGTTCTTGTGCTGGGCCTGGAGCTGGGTCAGGCTGGGGGAGGTGGGTAGGGAGCTGGGTAGCGCCCACTCCTTTGGTGCCTCCCTCGTGGTGCACTGCACTGGGCCCTAATGAATCTACAGCCCCCTCTGAGACCTCCAGGGTTCTATCAGCAGACAGCCCAGGGAGAAGGCGAGGCATAGCCCCCCACCTGGGGGGGAGGGTGGAGTACTTCTCTTCTCCAACCTGGGATAAGGACACCAGGGTTCATCTATTCAACACATACCTCCCAGCAGCCCCATTTGACCAGGCCCGTACTGCGCACCAGGGACACAGATGTGACCAAGGCTGGGGGCTTGTACTGTCCCCGGGGAGCCTGTAGTGGGTGTGGCAGCAAGCAGAGTGTGATATGATACACAGGATGGTCGGCACATAAGTGGGGGAGCCCCTCAGCCAGCCCTTCCTCACCCTAGGATGCATGCGGGCAGAGGAGTAAACGGAGGGTATCCCGGAGCTGGAAGGGGGTTTTGAAGGGTGAGTAGGAGTGTGTCAGGTGAGAAAGGAGTGAGGAAGGGATGGGTTCCTGCAGAGGTAGCCACAGGAGCAAAGGCGGGAAGGCGAGAGGCGCCTGGCACCCTGGGTGAAGGGCAGACAGTCCGGATGCGTGCTGAGGAGGGGTGGTGAGAGGTGAAGCTGGTGTGGCTGCAGGGCCCAGTCATGGGGACTTTAATGCCAGGCTGGGGTCTAAGCCTATCATAGTTAAGAGAGGTGGGCTGGGCCGGAGCTAGATGCTGGCATCAAGCCTGACGATGAATTTCCCAAGACCACGGGTGCTTCCCTGGTGACTCAGGTAGTAAAGAATCTGCAATGCAGGAGACCCCAGTTTGATCCCTGGGTCAGGAAGATCCCCTGGAGGAGGGAATGGCTACCCACTCCAGTATTCTTGCCTAGAGAATCTCACGGACAGGGCTACAGTCCATAGGGTTGCAAAGAGTCGGACGCGACTGAGCGACTAACACTTTCACACTTTTCCGAGGATAAGACCTGGTTGCCTTGTAACCATGCCCAGCGATCTGCAGAGGGCACCAGAGCCCAGGGAGGGCAGGGAGTTGCCCTGCCTCCCACAGACCTCAGTGGCAGAGCCAGCTTGGCATTCATAGCTCATCAGGGTTGGGAAAGCCAGGCTGCCTCAGGATCCATGCGGGGTGGGGGTGGGGGTGTGGTGGTGTTGGAAATCACAGTCTATCAGAGTTGGAAGGACAGAGACCTTCTGGAGGAAAGAATGGCCCTGAAGGGGTAGGGCTGGGACGTTGGCCGCTGAGAACCTGGGGATGATGGCGAGCCAGCCTCCAGCAGGTAAACTCAGGATGCTGCCCTCTCTCTGGGTGGGCCACCTATCCTGACATCTTGGAGCCACCAGGCCAGCCCGACCTCACCTCACAGGAAGCAGACTTAGCCAGGATTTCTCAGCCCCCTCCCACCCTGTGGCTCTGTAA